CCCCCCCCCCGGCTGGCTGCTGGGATTCTTCCCTCCCGAAGTGTAGAGGTCCCCGGTTTGAGTCTGGGAGTGAGGGATCCCTGTCCCAGTGTGAGCAACACCCTGCCCCCAAGGGCCATGTGACAGACCAGATCCTGGAGTTAGGAGGAAGTCTGAGCCCTGTGGGGTTTCAAGCCCAGCACCTCAGTGTGGCAGCTCCTGCTTCCATGCCCATGACCACAGAGACCCTGGGGGTGCAGATGCTGGCACTGGGGCAGGGGGCAACAGAGCCCCAGGGTGTGAAGCTGCCCAGATGGGGTAGAAACTGCCCTGGGGGGGCTTGTGTGGGTCTGAGAGGTACCTTCCTCTGCGGCTGGAGGAGAGACCCCACCCAGGTGAGCAGACCCCAGCAGACAGAGGGGCTCACCCGTCCCTGCTATGGAGAGGGGCCGGCTCCTCTCCGATTCGATCACTCGCCCGGACTCTACTCTCCAGCACCCACAGGTGTAGGTGCTGGTTTGCGGCGGCGCCGACAGCCGAACGGAGGCGGTGGCCTGGTGCGGGTGGAGGCAGAGTTCCTCGGGGAGCAGTGTCTGGCCGTCCTTGTAGAAGCGGATCATGGAGTCGCTGGGCGCCCCCGAGGCTGAGCATGTCAGGGTGATCGATTCTCCAGTGACGTAGCCCAGCTGCTGCGGGGACACGCTGAGCTGAGGGGTCGGGAGTGGGGCTGGGAAGGACAAAAGGCGGGTGGCAGAGGCGAGTCTCAGTGCCCTGGGGAGCTCCGGGTAGCATCACAACCCATCTGGGATCTGCCCTATTGGCTCTAATGTAGCCACGGCCCATTGACCCCCGCTGGGACCTGCCCCATGGACTCCAATGGAACAGCAGATTATCCCATTGGTCTGGATGGGCCAGCAGAATCCTCTCTAGATCTCGCTGAGTCTCACCACCAGGGATCTTGCTCACTCATGGGGAAGACACTGAAACCAGCCCACAGGTCCCTTGGGGTTTGTTTGAAGCTAAAGTTGGGAAGATTTGCTCTCATAGGGAGCTGAGGCATGGGGGGAGGGGACATGACGGGGCTGGTTTCCAATCCTCTGGCCATGACTCAATGAGCTGGGCATTCACCCTACACTAGCAGCAAGGAGAGGTAGCCAGGGATGAAGAGTTTCTTGCCTGTGATACCTACAAGTCAATGATTCCAGGTGCAGCCAGACTTGTGGGGAGAAGCGCTCCAATTGCCCCACATCTCTCCTACATGTGAGAACCGGGCAGAGCACTTCAGCGGAGATCTCATTGATAGGGGCGGGGCAGGAGAATGACTTCCCATGCCCTACAGCCTCCTTTCAATTCACGCCAGAACATTTTGTTTGGGCAACAGCCTCACACTGGTGAGTCCTTTTTAGCGAGTGGCCCACTCTGAGCCCTAGATCCCTTCCTGCAGGGCTCCTTCCTAGACAGTCACTTCCCGTTCTGTGTGGGACACAGATTGTTCCTTCCCACGTGCAGGACTCTGTATTTGTCCTCCTTGAATTTCATCTGATCTGCCTCCGACCCTTTCTCCAGTTAGTCTGCAGTATTCTAAATCATAACCCTGCCTTCCCAAGCACTCGCCCCGCCCCCCAGCCGGGTGTTACCTGCAAGCTTCATACGTGTGCACTCTGTGCCCTTATCTAATCACTGATGACAATGGTGAACAGCACAGAACCGTGTCCAGAACTGGTAGGCTGGGAGCCACTGACGGCTACTCTCTGGGGAGGGTTCTCCAGCCAGTTATGCACCTACATTCAACAGGGAAGGGGCAGGGCAGATCTCTCCAGCTCAGATTCATATCAGGGGCTGGTAGAGACTTGCCCATGGAAACACCTGCACCACACCGAGCCCCACCCTACCCTGGGCCCATGTTCCCCTTCCTGGGGACAGCAAACAGCAGCAGGCTGGGGGGCTCACCTGTTACTGCAATGGGGATGTTTTGGCTCCTCTCTGATACGATGTCTGGTCCATTCTTGTCATCCCTCCTGCGCCAGTATTCACAGCTGTACACTCCCACGTCCGACATGGCCACACTCGACAGCTGGATGGAGGCCACACGACGATATGCATTTAACATGGATTCCTTGGGCGGGATTTCCTTTTCATCCCTGTAGAATTGGAACCTGGTCGGTATGTCCACACCAGCAGCTGAGCACGTCAGGGTCACGGCTTCCCCAGTGATGTAGACAGGCTGCAGTGGGGACACGGTGAGCTGGGGGGCTGGAAAAGACAAAAGGGTCAGGGGAGGAGATGGTTCCTATGTGGGTGGCTGGTGACCCAGAAGCAGAGGAGGAGCCAGGGGAGGGCAGAGCAGGGAGAGATCCTGGGTACAGACCCCAGCCAGCCCCAGCTCTGTGCCCAGGAACCACGTCCCCACTGGGCCAGGCAACCCCTGAGCAGCAGAGATCTCCCTGTGGGACCCCAGGGGACCAGCCTCCCCTGCTGGTATCTGAGGGGACAGCTCATGCCCAGACCAATTCAGCCATCAGAGGTTGGGGGGTTGAGGGTTTGTGCGGCTGAGGCTGGGGACACAGGCCAGGCTGTCCCGCAGAAATTGCAGGTGCCAGCGATGGGCCTCAGAGCCCAGGGACCTCCAGGGATCACAGGGAGCTTTGCACAGATGAGAACTGGTGGGCTGGACTCGGACCCTGCCCCCTGCTCCTCACTGAGCCCCACCCTGCCCAATGCCCATGTTGCCCAGCAGGACTGTCTGTGTGGGACTGGGCTGCCCAGGGCACAGCAGGGGGGAGGATGAGCTGGTCACCCCTTTACAGACCGAACCTTTGCCATGATTGCTGAGCTCCTACAATACCCAGGACCCCAGTGCTGTGAGCTTCCCACAGCAGTGCCCCGCCACTGCCCAGTCCTTGCTGGTTTGGCAGGAGCTGCTGAGGTATCACAGATCATGTCTGAGATGCTGGGAATGGCTGGACTAAGGACAGGGGTGGAGCTGGAGGCTGGAGTGTCAGGGGGGTTTTGGATTCCCATGGACTAACCCATCCAAGAGCAGGAAAAGGGGCTCACCTGCTATGGAGATGGAGACGGAGTTGCTGTTCTTAGAGACTGGTCCATTGGGTCCCTCTGTCCAGTACGCACAGGTGTAGGTCCCGGCACTTCCCTTCTCAGCTGTGAGAACCAGCATGTCTCCTTCCTTATCACGTGGGACTGCGCTGGGGCCCTGCTGCCCTCTCTGGCAGAAGAATCTGTATCCCGAAGGCTGCACATGCCCAGGAGGTTGGCACGTCAGTGTAGCTGTCTGCCCGGGCAGAAGCACTGTGAGCTGATGTTCCAGAGATAGTGTGGGGGCCGGCAGACCTAGGACAGAGGCAGAGGGAGAGGCCAGGCCAGCATGGGGAGGGAGAAGTGACAATTTGCAGACAGACACGGGCACAGACCCGCCTCAGCTCCCTGCCAGGGAGAAAAACCCCACGGCCAATAGCCAGACCCTGGCTCTCTCCAGCACTGTCGGCCCCTCCATTACCTAAAGCCGAGCTCTGAGTAACACATTTAGGTGCATTCAGAAACCACCAGCCCTGGGAATCCATCCCTGCCCCGCTCTCTGCTGAATCTGTCCAAAACAGCCAGGGTAGCACCCATGGAGATGGGGGAGTTTCTCTCCTAAAGCCTGGTCAGGGACCCACCAAAGAGACCACCGCAACCAGGCATCAGCTGGGGTCACTTCTCCACCGCCATAAATGTAGCTCTGGACTGGAGCTGCTGCTCCTGGGGCCAGTTCCATGGGAGACACCTATGACTGGGGCCGCCAGACCCAGCCAGGAACCCCCCTTCCTGGCAGTTCCAAACAGACAATGGAAGAGGAGGGGAGTCCCCACCCCCACTGCCCGAGAACCCCCCACCCTGCCGTGCTCATCTCAGCAAGGCCAGGAGCCGTCCTTACCTGCCGGGGACACCAGCCAGGGGAGAGTCTGGAGTGAGGCTGGAAGAGATGAGAAGGGGCGGGAGTGTCATCCACAAGGAGGGGATGGGGCGGAGGGAGACTGGGGGAGAGAGTCTCTAGACAAACATGAGAAGCTATGGGGGCCGAGGGGGGCACTTACCCAGCAGAGGCAGGAGCAGAGGCAGCACCATGCTGAGCCGGTCGCTCTGGGCTGGGAGCAGTTTCTCAGCTCAGCCACCAGCCCCGTCTGGGCACACAAAGGAGGAAGGTCCCCTTCCCTCTGACGCAGGCAGGGGAAGTCACAGCCTCAGGCGAGGCCACCGCTCAGCGAGGGGGCTGGAAAGGCGGCAGCATCTCTCAATAGGAGGGACAGAGAACAGCTGCCCGCTTCCGCCACTTTCTCCCAGCCTGGGTCTGGACTGGGGGAAGGGGGCTGGGGAGCAACCGCTGGGGGCCAGCTCTTCTTGGAGTGGCCTAAGGTGTCAGCCGGTGCAATGGAACCTCCAGTGAGTTATTCTGATTTACACCCATTGGGGATTGGGGCTTATTGACTCCTATGCAGCTACAGCCCATTGACCCAACTGGGATCGGCCCCATTGACCCCCGTGGAGCTA